TAAGCAACAGTCACCATAAAGGTATCCGTCTCCTCCTTCAGTCCCAGCTGCTCTCCCTCCTGACTGCTGCACAGTTCCTCCTCTTCCTCTTTAATCTGTGGAGCTTCTGGTTCCTCCACACTGGAGCTCCTCTCCTGGTTCCAGAGCTGCTGCTCAGTGAGAACCTCCTCCTCCTCCTCTTTAAAGACAGGCTGCTGTGGGACGTCTGGAGGGACAAAGGAGAAAAAAAAGAAATGTGGTGTGGTAGAAAATCATCTCAGTAAATATACTAGCAAAATAATTTTCTACAACATGAACATGTTGTTCAGAAATACACAAAAAGATTCCATTTCGGGTCAATGATCACTGATGTCAGTCCAGTCTTTATTCCAAGCTTCCCAATTTTTTTTAATAGGAAAAAAAGTGATAATAATAATTTTTAAAGAACTCTATCAATTAGATGTATTTTGGGCAATTTCCATTGTAAATATTCAGGGGAAAAGAGAAAGGTAGAGTGGAGCTGAGCTGTGATGTCATCGAGTACAACACTGCTTCAATCATAAAATAACCACAGTGAGTCCTCGAGTACTTGAAAGTCTGGACTAATTGGTGAACTTGTCAAGAATGAACTAAGAAATACACAAGTATGAACCGGACTCACATGGTATTAAGAAAAGACCATTTACAGTATGGAGAAGGAGGGAGGGGTGAGACATTTATAGACCAGTGAGGGGCTGTGATTCAGAAAGAACTGATGTACCATCCAGAAGAAATGATTACAACAGAAAGTCGTATTTGGATGAGCAAGGAGCAGAGATGGAAATTTTGGATCACACTCTCAGGCCCCCTCCTGTATCTGAACAGTGTCTCAGCTGCTCAGATACATGAATGAATGCCTGGCTTTCACTTAGGGAGCAGTTGGAGAATAAATGGAGCGCAGTGCCGTCCTGTCCTCTGTTTGCTCTTTGTTAGCTCACATCTCCAAAAAGTCCTCACAATCAGAAACGTCCCGCAGAGCTGTGATCAGGATCCTCCCTCAGAGGGACACTCACCTGTCCTGTGCAGCTTGATTTCGGGTTTCCAGGTGATATCCAGCAGTCTG